CCCGGCGGCATGAGCAGCGTTGCCCGCACCCGCGGCAGGAGGAGGAGGCGGCCCTCCCGCCTCAGCCCGCCGTCCTCCACCAGCTCCGAGGGCCGGGAGCCGCTCAGTCCCTCCGGCGGCTCCCCGCTCTCCCCCGCGTCCCGCCCCAGCTCCCCGAGCGGCGAGGAGGAGGAGGAGGAGCGGGCCGCGGCCTCCCGGAGCCGGCGAGGCGATAGGTAACTCCTAAGTCTGGGCCCAGGTGGGAGCAGGGGGCCGCCCCCGCTCCCCTACTCGCCTCCCTCCGCTTGAGGCCTTTGTTGGGGCGGAAGATTATTTCTTACAAATATAGATCCTTTTGCATAGATAAGCGCTTCAGGCACCTCGTTCCCTTTTTGTGCTCTCTTGGGGAGTCACAGGTTACGGCAGTTTTCTCTATGGGCAGTTGAGTATTTGTAAAATAAGATGTTGACCTGAGCGGAGGGACTCTGCAAGTTAAAAAAGTACAGCCCTTCCTGTCGTCCTTTTTAATGTTCTTAAAGACTAAAGGCCTATTTTGCCTATTGTATATAGCTGTATTCAGTCAGTTGCACAGATCTTGTTCCTGTGACCTAGCTTCATTTGGTTTTAATTATATGAAAAATTAATATGACATGTCTTCTTTGGGATCTCCTCTGCTTGACAGAAGAATAAATAATCCTTATTCCTCCCTTTAAAATAAAAGGGGAAAGAGCAGGGAGTGCCTGGAGTATGACCTCTGCAATGGAATCTTGCAGATCTGTGCAGTAACTGCTGGTGGATGTCACTAGCAAGACTGAACTGAGCTAAAAGTGCCGGTGGGGAAAGGGAAGGACAGCTGAGCTTCACAGGAGTGCGGGGTTCCAGTGTGCCTCTCAAAACTCCTGTGGAGAGCAGTGCACGCCTCCCACGCAGGCTGAAGCAGTATGGGCCACACTAAACTTTTCTGTCAAGTGTTTCTTGAAAAAGGTGCTAGAAAGTCCAGGGAAAGTGTTCAAATGTAGTCAGAAGCGTCAGAGTGAAGAGAATATTAGCCTGTTTATGGTCCCTCCTGTTTAAGATTTTCTGTTCCCTCTCATTTTACTCCTTCCCAATAACCAATTTTGTTCTCATATCTTGAAATTCTGTAGCACTCAGGTCAAACTACTACACGTCTTGGCAGCTTGAGACGCTACTTGACACAGGTCTCCATTTTTGGGCCTGTTGCTGCAGTGTTCTCTGGCAGTGGTAAGATGAAACTGAAGACGACCTCTGTATGGGCCTGAGTTGGAACAACCTCATGAAACTCTGTAGGCACAATGTATACTTTGCTCATGCAGACACTGCATCTGAATAATACTGCTGCTGCGCTGTAATGAGTGTCTACCAAATGTTCATATAGCAGCTTCCGTGTAGAACTGCCAAGATCTCCAAAGTATAGTAATAAAAAACACTTCTTACACAGCCCCTACCCCCCCACGCATATGCACACGTTTTCTCAAAGAGTCTTTTTGTTGTTGTCCTCTTAAAACTGCACAAAAATTAGCCGGAGGCGGACATTTAACGTGGGAAATGCAATATTTGCAAAAGAGAATGGCTGAAAACAAGGTCTTGTGAAATGGTGTTAGGCATTTTCATGCTTTCATTACGGATCAGTGTTATGTTTAGTGGTGTGACTTAAGTGAATATATGGTAAATTGTAATCACAGTGTTTTCTATTGATCAGACTTCAGTTCTAATGCCAAATGCATCTAATTTGATTTAAGATACTTATTTAAAAACAAATGTGCACTAGGGAATGCAGTACTTGAAGAAGTGTATTATTTTAGTTATTCTGAGGAAGGTCGTAGCTGTGAACGTGCTAGCATTTCAGCAGATGGTCCCATGAAATTCAAGGTCTGCGTGGTTCAAGTACATAATCAGTGTGCCAGGAAAAGTGCAACCGGTGGCTGGGATGCACACTGACAAGGACTGGGTTCCAGGCTGTGCTCCGGTGCAATCTGAGAGCTTTAGACACGTTACTGCAGAAGAGGAGAAATGTTTCTCCTAACAGTTCTTCATATTGAGCTTGTGTTTTCCTCTGTTTAAACTTAATTTTCTGTTATTTCTTACTTGTATACGATAAGTTTTTAATTTAGTACTGTGAATTTTTTTGAGAAGTTAACAGCTTGAACTTTATAATTACTGATACAGACAAATACATAGTAAATTATATTTTTCTTAATTCATTCCTTTTACTAGTACTTGTTCTCAGGTTGGTCTAGTACGTCAGCGTTAGTCTAGTTCAAGGTGCCATAATGCAAATCGTGCACAGCGAAAGAATGTATTGAGGAAGTATCCCTGCCCAAATGTCAAGTCTGGGCAAAGTTGCGTTGGTTTCCTGAATTTGAATGCATAATGCTTTTATCCTTATCTTTAATAAACTTTCAGAGAGCTATTTTCTAACAAAATGCGTTATTATGCATTCTTAAGTTGCATCCCTTATTTTACGTACCTATTTAAAAACAGTCTCTGTTAAATTGTTGGGTTTTGTTAATGCTGTAACATAAAAGACCTAGGGTGCAGCAGAGTGTGTTGGACAACACTGCTCTTGGGAGTGCTTGGCCTGTGCTGCTTCTGCCCATGAGTTGTCTGTCTGTCAGAGTGCCCTGTCAGTTCCGTTGTGCTAAATCTCCGTGGAAGCATGGTATAAAGAGGGTTGGGGGCTGATTCTGTGTGGGGAAAACAACCCTTTTCCAGGTTCATTTCAGCATGAATGAGTTCCCTTGGACACGTCATGGCTGGACCAGCAAATGGTCGTGTTAGCACATGCACATGTGGGTAACAACAATGGAGAAGAGTAGGATACAACTGTTTAGCACTGTCCCCAAATGCAGAAATGTATTCCAAATATTATTAGGACATAAAATGTTTGGCAGCAGAGTATTGCTGTTCCCTGTGACTATGTAATACTTTTATATTGATAAAAAACAAATATGTTTAAAAGATTTATTTCAGGAACATTAACAATCTGCTTGTTTGAATGCCTCTTCTGTAGTTTGAATTCAGCAAGCAGAATTACTCACTGTAGTGAAGTATGTATGTATGTAGGGTAGATATTTCCAGGCTCTATATGTCCATATAGAATACTGAAGTGAACTCTCGTTTCACTGTTTTCCTAAGAAAAAAATCTGTATAGGATAGAAGAAATCTTACAAAGAAATCTATTGGCATATTTTCAGTTTTCATTGACTTAGAGCCTAATGTATTGTCTTACTTATGAGATAGTACATGTATCATACAGAATATTATGAAAGGTATTTCTGGCCTGGGGCTAGGATTGCTGCATTATTTATTAGTAAGAAGTTACAAGTTATGCAAGGTATCATATTAAAAGTCTAATAGAACCTTGTATAATATCATTGTCTTGTACGCAAGCCGTATTTCTCGTTTCCTGTGAAAGCCTTTTAGGGTGGAAGATGCTACTTATTAGAGCGTACGCTGAGGTTGCTTGATATACCATGAATCCAATTCTATAGGACTTGAAAGAAGAAAAATATTCTTGATTATCCTTTGCTCGTGGTAAAGGTGACTTTGATACATGGAGCCTCTCTGTGTCCAAGGACAGGATGTTAATGTTAAATCTCTGATTTCCCTTGGTTTCCATATGTGAGAAGGAAGGTGACGCTTTGATGTTTCTGGTGTTTGTTTTTGTTTAGTTTATAAAAGGTGATGCTTGAATCTGTTCCACAGTTTGGATCAGAGTAAAAAAAAAAAAAAAAATCACTGACAAACTAGAATTTAATAAGCAGAACGTACCGGGGATGGTCAGAGATGTACTCTAAATGTAATTTATCCATTCTGGAGATTACTAAGCAAGTAGAAAAATTATGTCATTGTTCTCACAATATGCCATAAAAGAAATGTCAGTTTTCAAGGCAGTAGCGCTGCTTAACTTTTCAATCAAAAATATTGCAGATAATATTCTTTTTTTACATTTCTTGTTTTTAATTCAGGAAGGCTGAAGACTCTGAAATAGCAATGGGGGGAAAAGAGTCACCTTTGAAAGATAATCTTTCACCGTGGGAAGAATGGTTCATTGGCAAAGAGAAGGAGCTACGTGCCCGCTTACAAGCTAGAGCTGCAGAGGTGAATACATCCAGTTGGCTTGATGTTAAGCCTAATAGAAGATTGCAAGCACAGGATTTTTTTTTTTTCCCTTTTAGTTGTGGAAACACAAGTAGTTTTTTCCATTATTTTTTAGTGTCTTGGGCCTCCACAGTGTTTGTGTTTGACAACGCTGACATGATTCATGCTACTTGCATTCTCTTTCACAAAATGTTATGCCGCATTGAAGTGGTGCTGTATAATATTTTGCTTATCCAACTGTCAGGTAATGGTTCAGGTTTAAAGGATTAAAACATATAATTGGTACCTTGATTTTCATCATGGGTGCATACGCCTGCGTGTAGTTAGCAAAGCACGGCAGGGCGTGTGCTGGGTGTAAGTGTGCCAAGCTACTTGTTTAGATATGAGGCACAGTGTTGTTACCCGCTTAGGGTGTAATTATACAATATGTTTGGTGTCCTTTCCCAGGTTAGGTTCCTTGTCCCAGCATTTTTTTTCCCTCCTGTCTTTTGCCCCCTTGCAAATGAACAGTTTGTGAATACTGGTTCAGAATTCAGTGAGAGTGCGATATCTTTTCGTGATTAATATGTTTGTAGTTGCAGTTGATTAAATGATACTGTTGTTTAAAATCAAATTGGAAGTATTGGGTAGTAGTTAGAACAATCACATCAAAGTTAGATCATTTCTCACTTTAGTTACTGATTTACTATTTGACCTTGAGCAATGTCCTAACTTTGCTGTGATTCACTTTATCTGTAAAGTGAATATAACATGCAGCTGTTTTATTTGGGCTACCTCAGGTTGTTTATAAAACACACACTGCTGGAAGGTTCTAAAACAGTCTTGGGGGTCAGCATAACACCAAAATAGTTTGTTAAATTTGAGGAGTATGTTCTGATCCGTTAACATTAACCATGCATTTCCCCTTCAGATTCCGGTCTGGTAATCATCTCTCCCTATTTTGATTTTTAAGTATAAAAAAATGAACCAAAGTAATTTCTGGTGTCATGTAGAAAATGTGGTTTGTGTATGGACTTCTCATGTGGCCTTGATGAGGAACCAAAGCAATTTATTCTTGTGTATTACACAATAGCATTTATACAGTACTAAATGTAATCTAGAAGATGTCTCTCAATTATATGTTAAGAGCAGTCATAGGACAAGCATTACTTAAAACAGTGTAGAAAGCAGTAAATAGGTAAATGGTTTTTTTTGATTTGTGAGATTTCAAAAACATTCGATGTTAAACTGCAACGTAGGCAACTCAAATACCTTATATCAGGGTCAGAAATACAGTCAACCTTTTTGTAAGATGCCAGAAGAGAACAAAGTATGTGATTGTCATATAAAAATGTATTTCTACATTTGCATATAAAAAATACTCTAAACTGATATCCTAAGAAACAACTGTGAAGTCCCAAATCTTTTGCTGACAGGAGTGCCAAGTCTGCCCTGAATGTCAGAAAAGTGGATGAATGTCTGGACTGGATAGTGGATGGGGTCTTCCAAGGTACTTAGAGTGCCATCACCTTTTACAGAAACCAGGGTCCCTGTAATACAGATGTCTCAGAACTCAAAGCAGGTGTTAGTTGCTGTAACTTTGCTTCAGTACGGCAGCAACTATGTCTTCAAACTATGTCTGTATTGTGAGTGTTTCCTCTGAGCTCTCTGCAGGGTTTTTTTGATGTCTTACTAAATTCAAATTCAGTGTCGTAGGAAAAGTTTTCTCTCCGAAGCTGACTGCAGTGTAGGGACCATAAAATCAGTTTCGTGGAAATAATTCCATCTATGTTTGAAAGCATGAATTTTCATTGAAAAATAGCACTTTGGGCTGATGCTTCTGTTAGAGAAGCTGGGCATCTCGAATTGTCATCTTAGTTCATGTCTTTTCTTTATAGATTCATTTCCTTGGAGAGAGAGATGTGATTGCACATATACTGTATATCCTATAAAGATAAAATACTTCAGAATTTCTTCTCTCATCTTCAAAATAAAGCTCCTGTTTCAAAGTTTGCTAAAAGCTGCAATAATTTTGGCTTTAATAAGCCTTGGAATAAGCCCTAAGGTTCCTCTAGTTCTGGTGCTAAACATCACAAGGGAGTAGTATTTCGCTTTTACCTTTTGATGCCTTTCTGAGTGCAGAACAGTACACCATGTAAATTTTAAGTAATGTAGAAAAGTACTGCTGCAAATTAAGATTCGACTGACTGAAAGGGCATTTAAATAAGCTGAGGAGTGATTTGTTATGTTGAATTGTTTCCAAAGCCTAGTTAAAATAGGTATTTTGAGTTCATATTCTAGAAATTATACATTTCCATTGCCTGCATTTCGTAATATTTCTGTGTTGGCTGTCATTCATCTTTTCCAAAATCTTAATAAAGGAAGAATTTCAATACCTAATGCTTATATTGTTTTAACTGAGCATTGTTTCCAGTATTGAGTGTACTGATGTAGATGGTCACCGCAGATTCTGAGATGCATGCATTTTCGTTAATTAGGAAATGAAAATACAGCTAGAGAAGATGAAGCAAAAGCAAGAATATGAAAGGAGGAAAAGGATAGCTGAAGAGAAGCACAAGGAATGGGTCCAGAAAAAAAGAGAAGAGGTAAATATTGCTTTGGCTGCATATATCCTAGCACATACCATGCTTAAGTAAACCTATGTAAAACTTCAGACTGTTTGGATGACCACGTTTTTAGTTTGCTGAATGAATGGCTGTTTTAATTGAGAATTATAAATCTAGACCAACACGGTTAAACGTTTTCCAAGACTGATTTTTTTTTTTGTTTTTTCCATAAGGTATGAAGAGATTTGTTTTCTGAGTAGTCAGAGAACTGACAATTGGCCTACATCTTGTGCAGTAGCCTGCACAATTCTAATTATAGCTGGGGTTCTGGTCTTCACTGTACCCTACTCTTTCTGATTTCCTAGGTTCAATGCCCAAACATTTTGGGTAATGTGTACATCTTAACTGTCTACAATGCCTTGTACACCAAGTAGAGCCAGAAGAAGGATTTAGTTAAGTACCATTGTGGACAGGCAAATAGTATGGTAGAGTTTAGAGGAATAATTGAGGTGTGAGGCCAGATTCAGGAAATTCTCAGTAGACCACAGTCAGCAACTGGGAATTCCTTCATCCAAAAAGTAATTTCTGAGTGGGATCAAAAATTTTTTTAAATTCTCTTGAGGGGGATGCCTAAGTCCAAGGTCAGAAGCAGACAGAATCCTGACTTCAGTGGCACACTTGTACAGCTCCGTGTCACGCAAAGCAAGCATGTGTACGGGTGGCAAAAATGGGAACGTTTGGGAGGCTTGGGCATGATCAGCCCCTGGTAGCTGCTTACCATTCTGTCCTTCTGGTTCTGAATAAAATCAGATAAAAATCGATTAAAAATATCCTAATGGCACTAGATGGGCGAGATATCCAGACCTCATAGATTTGTCTTCACCATTTCAGAACTCCTTCAGATTCAGTCCAGAATCACTAGAATAACCCGTGTTTGGATCTAACCTAATTACTTTTGGTCTCAATGCTGACAGGATGATTGGCATAAACCTGCCCCCAAACCAGTCCTGCTCTAAGCATGTGTTATGATGTAGAAAGGGCCCTGCCTTACCAAAGTACACAGCAAAAAGTAGAAGATTTATTATTCAGCACAAACTATACCATTTTCCTCTTCTAAAATGGAAATTAAATTATAGGTGTCTGTAACTAATGAGTTTGGGCTGCCTGTTAAAACTGCTCACAGTTCAATACAGTGTAAGTTCTTATTCTCCTTCCTTCCCTCCTACCCCCTGACCTTCAACTTCTGTAAACTTCTATCTATTTGGGTCTTCCAAAGATCTTTGTCTTTGCAGATTTACTGGTTAACTTCTTTTCTACTGTCAGTGGGAATAAAAACTCTCTTTTATGGTAATCACATCAGCCCAGGGGACAAGGGGAAAAAAACATGTTTGTGTCTGGACTTTATCATATTGTATTTTGGAAGGATAAGTTCATCCTTAGGCCATGTCCAAAGCTTTTACCAAAAGGAATCTGATTTTCATTTAAGTCAAATGATTCACTGGTTAGTCTTTTCTGTAAACCACACTCAAATCAAGAACTGAACTTAAAAGCTTAGCTGTCTGTAGGATATTAACATTTGTGATGCATAGACCTTACCACTTCAAGATTCCACAAGATTATCTGTGGATCTGGACACAGACTGAATGATAAATATGTCAATTCAGTGACTGAGGTGTTTAAAATCACGTGAAGATTTCACATGGTGTTTAAGGTTAGATTCATGAGCACTGACAGTTGCTATGATTTTCTTGGGGAGCCTGTATATGTCTCCTATTCGGGAAAGCTCACTTCATTTCCTTCTAGGAGCATCAAAAGGTGCTCCTTGAGGCACAACTCGCAGTATTCCTCTGAAACAGGCATTAAGCACTCACCATTTTCATACCTAGTTACTGATTCTGAGCCCCTGTGTGTAGACTGGCAGGAGGCAGTACTTTTACAAGTCTCCATTCCTATTGCTGAATACCGACAAAGAAAGTAAGGGATGGTTGAGTGTACATAAAACTTTTGCCTTCATCTTGAGCATCCAGCACCAGGAAACATTGCTGGAAAAATCTTCATACTGAGAATGTGAGATACATTTATGTCAGAAGTAGAATGTTTCTGTGTGCATTAAAGAATTCTGCTGTTTTTTGGTATGCCAAGCCATTTTTCCTGCATTTTGTTGCATGCCAGTGTCAGCTGTGATGCTCATGACTGTTGAATATAGTCCTTTAGGGTCAGGTTAGGAAGCAAAGCTTAAGCACTATTTTTGTTCACTGGCAGTTTCATTTTTTATTGTTTAATATATATTTAAAACTATATGCTATGAAGGGTTTTTTTTATGGTTCCAATCATTTTGCATGGACTATTTTTGAAAATAAAGGAATCATAAACATTTAATATTCTTCTGTGTAAATAGCTTTTGTGATTTTAAAGGTTGTAAATGAGCTAGAAGTAATACATTGAAATGTGAGCGATCAAAGAACATTCTAAGCTGTGAAATATGTTTATGCAAATAGGGCAAAATTTTGCAGCTGACTAGGAATTAAAAGCTTAATAAAATCAACTGTCAGAAGCTATCCTGCTTCTACTAATGCCTTTCCAATTTTCAGTAAGATGCTAGATGTCTGCTGGACAAAAATAGTCTTGCTTTTTCTCTCTCCTAAGGTTGAGTCATTTGTGGGCAAAGAGTAAATTGTCTATTTGACTTGTTTTGCTTTAGATGTAATAGAGCTCTATTTTTAACAAGTCACAAGAATATCAATTGAAATATTTTAACTCTAAAACATCTCCAAACACGCTTCTGGTTCCAGAAGAAAATGTACTTGAACATTATATAATTTTGTATGTAACGGAAGCTTTTATTTATGGGTTACTGTTAGATTCATTGATAAAAATGAGGAAAGCATGATTATAAATGCTGAGCAAGCAAAGTTGGTGTTCGTTGTTTTCATTATTAAATTAGCCTTGATTTGAGTGGTATGCAGAACTGGACACAGAGCAGTAAAGCCATCAGAATCTGTCTTAATCCTTCTGGTATGTTCAAGTGTTTGCTTGATTGCTGGTTGCTGTATTTAGACTCCAGTTTGGTAAGAAGCTCTGTGTAGGCAACTCATAGCTGAACTGTGAAGTTTAGAAAGAAATAAATTGATGTTCTTGATCCCAATCTCATCATAGAACTACACCTTAAATAGGTATTGAAAGCCTCATTTCTTCAGGTAAGAATTAATGCTTGTGAAAGCTTATTTTCTCCGTGTCTGTTCATTCTGACGCTTAATGTGTTTGGGTTTTTTTTTTAAAGTTACATTAACCACAAATGGGTAAATCCGCTAACATTATGATTATGTGGAGGTGTAAAGCAGTTAAGAGGTGAAATTGATCTATACATGTATCATTTATTTTAGATTGAAATGATTGAAAGCTTAAAATTCATTATGCCAAATATAAATTTTATTAAATTTTAAGTACAAACGTGTATTTTTGTGAGTTGATGTAGAACCTGAGCTACTTTTAAGCTGGGATGTGGTAGGTATGTATTTATGTAGCTGTATTGGCTCCTAAATCAGTTCAAATTTGTACTGATTCTATCACCTTTTTCTTAGTTATGGTGCTGTTTTTAAAGTCAGCTTGAAAAGGCCTCAAAGCTGTATAAGCTTGCTCAGCAATACCTAAACCACTGTTGTGTTATCGACGCTGTTTTGGTCACAAATCCAAAACATACCGCCACAGGAACAGCTATAAATTAACTCTCTCCCTGCCAAAAAACCACTACATATATGTAATACGTATATTTTCAAGAATAACTGAAAACCTCAAAAAGCGGAATACTTGCATCCCAAATAACTGTGATTCTGAAACTCATGTTGTTAACATCCTTGTCTTTAGCCTTTAACTTTCATATAATACTTTATGCTATAAGCAAAACTGCAAGAGCACAAGTAAAGTTAAACATTTTACATTGGAAAACTAATTCTTCTAATACCAATGTTAATTTGACTGTAGTATTTCAAATACTTTCTGCATTGTTGAATAGAGAATAAGGCGTTGATTTTTATTTTTTTCTTAGAATATGAGCAAAGCAGGCATTAATCATAGAACTTTGTACAAATTCTTTTGTTACTCATTTTTGCTTTCTGTAGGTCCCCATTGCTTACTGAAAAATATAATTTTAATAGAAAACAGGATGGGAAAATTCTGATTTGATGTTTTCTAATTTAAAATTTTGTTCTTAAAATTTACTTTGCTGTTGGCTGATAGTCTTCATAAGAAGGAAAAGGCAGTAAGAAATATCAAAGCCTAGAACCAACATGCTATAAAATAAGGAATGACAGATGTTCTTGGAGCAGACTTCCCTTTGCTGGTGTGCTGCATGATTCCTCCTGGAAGAAAGGCTTAGATGCCAACTCTTACTGCAGAAACTTTGTTTAATGCATACTTTATCTCACCATTGCTAATATAGGACACAGATCGTTCAGCAGCTTGAGCATGACTTTCAAGTTAAAAAGTCATGCTCTCTTTCATCCAGTGAATTTTTAATTATTTTGTGAGGAGTGGTACTTCACCAGGAGGGGTGGAGAATCCTGTCATCCCAGCCTGCAGCCTGGTAGATGGAGTCTTCTCCTCACAGTGGGACACGTTAGTTGGAATTCCCTCAGGCAGAGAGGTAATGAAACCCGGATCTGCCCTGTCCTAGGTTAATGTTCTAACAGATGAACTATTGTTCTGAGTCAAAGCTGTGGTTGCTGCTACATTTTATATAGAGCCTGATGTGCTATGGTTTTTGCTGATGGTTTAGACTTGAAAGCGATGCTGAGATGTTCACCTTTTCTAAGACTGAACTCTTTCAAAAAAAAAAAAAATTTGTGAGGGAAACTTAAATATCTGGCATAAATACCTTCCAACCTTGGGAACCAACATCATTAAAGAATTCAAATTTTCTGTTCAGGTGCCCAAGTCTGTCTTTACTTATCTAAACTTTTTTTTGGTAAATCTGGGCTTAATTTCTTAAGTTTTTTTTCATTTGTTTTTTTGGTTTTTTTCCTGCAAATTATGGCTTTTTT